CGCCGGGTGAGGCGCGCGAGCCGCGCCCGCAGGTAGGTGTCGGGGCCCGGGGAGGGCTGGAAAGGGGGCATCCCTCTCCCGCCCGGCTGGACTCGGAGTCGGCGTCCGGACCGCGGCTCAGGGCCTGGGCAACGCCCTCCCGCCCGCCGTGCTGCCAGGTGGACCGCGCCCGCGCCTTCGGCCCTCGGGGTGGGTGGGATGACGAAGCACAAAGAGACTGCGAGGACCACCATCCGCCTGGCCTGCACCGGGCTTCCACCTGGGGACTCGCCTGCCCCCGGCTCCGAGCTGGGGCACGAGAACCCGGGCTCGTTACCGCCCGGGGAGTGAGCGTCACGGCGCTTTTGAGAATTGACATTAAGGGGCCCAGCCGTGGGCGCCCGCGAGGTCCGCCTAAGCGGCCTTGTCACCTCCAGCAGCAGCCCAGCCCGGGTTTTGGGAAGTCTGGGTCCTGCCCTCCTCTTGGCAGAGGTTGGGCTGGGGCTGTCAGGGAGGAGAAGGCCAGGTGGGGGCCGGCTCCTGCGGCACAGGTGTGCGGGAGGGTGGGGGCTGTGCGGCCCGTGCTCAGCTCCAGCGCGGCTCCAAAGGAGCCGTGAAGGGCCCAGCTCTTCCTGCGTCGCTCCCAGTTTCTCGACATTTACCCAGGGAACAGTGCGTGGGTTCATTGAAAAAGTCATTTATTTCCTGAGAAAGAGAGTGAGGATCTCTCTATGCCACACTCCTCCCCCCAGCCAGCTAGGGTCCCGAGCACCACTGGGCACCCCTGGGCACCCCTGGCAAGTTAAGGTCTACCCAGGTTCTGAACTTGGGCCTCCCTTGTGTCTCTAGCATCTTGGTGTCATCCTACTGCCTGTACTACTGTGGCTGGCCCGCACCCATGTTTAACAGAAGCTGAGTCACACTGGGGTCCTGATGCCCTGGACCCCCCTGTTCAGTGCCCAGAGGTCCTGGCTTCATGTTCTTTTCCTGCTGCATGTGGAGGATGGTCTTAGCCTGCTTCTTGCACCTCTGCTCCACGTGTGGTGGCTGTGCTGGGACTTGCCTCAGGAGTGTGTGCAGCTTGAGCCAGGGGAGCCTGCGAGGCCTGTCCAGGGTGCCTGGGCCGCACGTGAGCTCTGGTCCTTGGTGCTGCTGCTGCTGCTGGTTAGTGATGAAACTTCTCCAAGGGTCCCTCTGATCCTTTTCCAGGGGACTCCGTGTCTGGCAAACAGACGGCATTTATTTCCCGCGTCTTCGTTGATCGGAGACGGCATCTGCTTGGTGTGGATAACCCGTGTGAACATCACTGAAGCGAGCTTCCCAGTCGCTGGTAAATGTTTTCCTTCAGGCTTTCTGAGGTCAGCGGGAAATTGTCCACAGGCCCTCAGGATCCTCATCACTGATCACTGAGAGGTGGGGGTGGAGGTGCTTCTGGGCCACATGATCCTCACCCTGGCCATACATTGCAGGTGCAGCCCAGCAGGGACCCACAGCTCCTGGGAGGATGGTGCGGATCTTGGCCAATGGGGAGATTGTGCAGGATGACGATCCCCGCGTGAGGACCACTGCCCCACCGAGAGGTGGCACTCCTCGACAGGTAGGCACTTGTGCACTAGGGAAGGGAGCAGCAGTTCCTCTCAGCCCCAAACCTGTCTTGTTGGTCATTACCATTCTCTGTCCTGAAGCTGTCTTTGCAGAGAGCTGGGTGAGGGAATACAGAGTCAGGACCTGCCAAAGAGGCAGTGCATTTATTGCCCAGCCCTCCGCCCCCAGGTCTCCTTCCTTCAGGCAGCCTCCCTAACTTCAAACCCCAAAGCTCTCCCCTTTAACCTGCTCAGCACACCCCCCGGGAGCCCGCATGTTTCTCGTAAGGGTCTGCTGGGTGAGCGAGAAGCTGGGGAGTAAGTCGGGGAGATGCACCATGGCCACACCATAGCTGTTTCAAAGAGGCATGATGTAGACTCCCAATGCCTGAGTTCAGAAGCCATCCCATTGTCCAACCTGCCTTGACCACCTTCTGTCTCTGTCCTGGGCGCTTCCTGGGCCATACCCGGGGGGATATAGACTGACATTTTCTGTCTCTGAATGCTGTGACTCAGTTATTGAGATTCCTATAAGTGACCCCTGGGGTCTGTTGGGAAAGGAGGATGTAGCCCTCCCTACAGGGGAGGGCAGGACCCAGGCCACAGGGTCTCCCCACTGCCAGCTGGTACTCAACTCCAAGCAGGCTTTCTCTGGATTCATTGCCTGTCTGTCTTCGCCTTCCAGAGCTTTCTTAACAGGGGCCATGGTGCTCCCCCCGGGGGTCCTGGCCCCCGCCAGCAGCAGGCGGGTGCCAGACTAGGTGCCGCTCAGTCGCCCTTCAATGACCTCAACCGGCAGCTGGTGAACATGGGCTTCCCCCAGTGGCACCTGGGCAACCACGCCGTGGAGCCGGTGACGTCCATCCTGTTGCTCTTCCTGCTCATGATGCTCGGCGTACGCGGCCTGCTGCTGGTGGGCCTCGTCTACCTGGTGTCGCACCTCAGCCAGCGGTGACTGTGTGCAGCTGCGGGCACTGGAGAGGGACTTGCTGGCCTTGATGTGAGCAGGCACGTGGGGAGGGGCTGCAGTGGTGCCTTGAGGGTGTGCTCAGAGAAGGGGACACGGCTGTGAGTTTCCCTGTTGTGTTAAGCGTGGGACAGAGGGTGGGCACCCTGGTTCGCTTGAGATGTTTTCAGGTGGCACAGGGCCTACATTAAGTGGTGCAAAATCAGAACTAGAAAGGGGGATTCCCTTTCCAATTCCCTTTCCATCCTTTTTGCCAAGAATGTCTCAGCTTGGTGCCAATGTTTTAGTGCCCATGGAATGTGGCTGTCTTCCCCATTACTGGGGAGCAGAGCTTGGGCTTAGGGCGGGGGGAGGGGGGCAATGTCCAGATTTTTATAGCACTCTTTTGTTTCAATGGTATATTTTTTATCAATTATCTTTTATTTATGACAAGTGGTACTGGCAGTCCATTTATTGTGACATTTTCAATAAATAGATTTAAATAAAAATGAGTCCATGCGAAGGTGTTCTCAGATAATCTGCAGCAGCGGGCACATCTGGAGGACGTGGTGAAGGAGGTTTGGGAGTGATTGGGCTTGGGGACCAGGGTAGCAGTGGGTGTTGACCTCGCAGGGTGCTTTCAAGATTTTCTGGGTCAGGAGCTCAGGGAAGAATCACAGTCTGGGCCTGGACTTCCAGCCTGGTGCTTGGAGAACTTCTGGGCCCACTCTGACAATCTGCACCTGGAAGTTGGCTTTGTAGGGAGGTGTCCTCTGCCAGAACGGTGAGGCCGCAGGGTCAGGACAGCCAGGGTGCAGTTCTGAGATCTGCAGGGTCTCCCTTGCCCAGGGGCTCTTGACAGAGGCTGCGTAGCCGCCCGCCTCACCCCATCACTCCTGAGGCTCTCATAGCCACTGGCTGCAGTGGGATAAGAGTGCCCTGCTCTTTGTGCAAGGAGGCCTTGAGCGTGATGTGAGCCCTGGGTTTTTGTGGAGGCCCTGCCAGTTGAGGCACCATGTGGCTGAGGCTGTGGTTCCAGCCTCACGTGTGTCATTCTCCCTGAGCCCTAGCACAGTGGGCCGAGGGTTGTAGCTTGGCGTGAGTCTGGGTGAGCTGGAGGGCTCTGCCTGCCCTCTTCTCAGGGCTTGGCTGCCTTGGGGAGGAAAGCATGTGGTGGTGATGCCAGGGCTGGGGAAAGATGGTTGTGGGGGAGATGGAATGGATTCCACCCTCCGAGAGCCTGCTGTGCTGCCTGTCCCCAGGCCCTGTGCCCACTGCTGCTGCTGAGGGGGCTGGTGGCCTTTATCATGGACATTCCTGAGGGAGCTTTTGTGGCGTTGGAACAGAACTCATTTCTCAAAGAATGTTTTCTGTGTCTATTTCCCAGCCGTGGTTGGAACACGTGTTCCTTTATTTTTTTTAATGCCAAAGGGTGTGTGCAGCGAGAGAGAGAGAGAGAGAGAGAGAGAGAGAGCAAGCTCCCCTAATCAGGTCTGGTCAGGCCGCAGTCCCCTCGTCCTCTCTTCCTTCCTGCCAAGATCCCAGGCATGCGTGCACCTGCGCTTGGCATGCCTGTCAAACCTCTGGGGACGGGATTTGAACCATAGTCAGTCATGTGGAAAACAGCCCCCACTGAGGGGTGTCTGTCCTTCCAGCCCAGAGACAACAGAGGTCTGGTGAGATCAGGGCTGGAGGCTCATGTGGGGGACAGGAGAGGCGGCACCCCCCAGCACCCAGGCTACAAGTGGCAATCTGACAAGGGGACACGGGGCTTCAGGACTTAGCCCGGAGAGCAGCAGACACTTCTCATGAAATCTGTCCCTTTGGGTGGGATCAGAATCAGCGGGGCTGCCAATCTGGGGGACCCCATCACACAGCAGAGGACGAAGCACCCATCTTCCTCAGTGATCCAACATGGACTCCGACCAGGCCTAACCTGTCTCCCGGATGGATTCAGAGAACTGAAGAGGAACGAAGGAAGTGACTTTCTGCCCGAGTGATTCAGCGCTGTGCTCGTGAATGGACTAAGTGATTTTGTGGCCTGCCCCAATCATTTCACACCCCGACAGCGAGCAGCACCCCACAACCTGTGGGGCTGTATGATCCCAGGCAAGCCGTTTGTAAACGGTAGCCTTTGTAAGGTAAAGCATTCACGTGTTCCAAGATCCAGCAGTTCACACTTGTACACACAGGAATCTCTTGCCCCTTCCTCCTCCCCCTAGAGCTACCTTCTAGATCCTTCCAGAATGAGTTATGCAAACATGAATATACTCAGTTTTTATATAAGCCATGGAAACTCGGACATAGATTCTGCTCCTTGTTCCCCAACTTAGCAAAACAAGTACACTGGACCCATTCCGTCTTCGCATGTGAGGAACTTCATGCCGTAATGCCCTGGTGTCTGTGTGAGTTGCTGCTCTCTTTTGGCTTAGTGATTTGGAGGCTAGGGGATTGACCCAGCTGGTCCCCCAGGGCCTTGAGCTCTGACCCTGAACCACGTCCTGGGTCCACGACATTTGTCTGAAATGTAGAGAACAAGCGGCTCCCTTTCTTCAGGGTCCAGGGAGGTTGGGGGAAGCACCATGGATGGCTTCAGCTTAGTCCTGGGCCCCCAAGTCTGTCCTACAGACACTCAGTCTTAGGTGTCCTGGCAAAGGCTGAGGGAGAGCCTCAGAGCTCACATCAGTTGATTTCCCCAGGCTCCTTTGCACTTTGCAGTTGGACAGGGTGTAATTTCTGCCCTCATCTGAATGCCACCCTCCTGAGTCATGTCACCCCATGTCAAGCACAAGGGACTCTTTATCACTTCCGATGGGTGGGGGGAGTGCCCATCTCCAGACCCCCTTCCTTTCTGGAGAAATGAGCAAGACTTAATTTCCCAGAAGGCTCCTTTTCCTCCCGAACACAACCCTACCTGTTACTGGTGGGGCCTGTCTGTGGTGGGTGTTTGATGAAGTTTGCAGCTACTTGGTTTGACACTTCCAGCATTGCTGTCCTCACTTCTTCTGCCACCCCAATTTTGAAGAAAGTCTGGGTGAAGGAGGCTAAGGGGAGCCATGCAGAGTGGCAGGGCCCCAGGCTTGCTTTGGCTAATGAACATCAGGATCCCAGGAACCCCCAGCCGCAGCCCTGGAGGATTATAAAGGTTGTCCCATGGCGCCACCTGGTGGAATGTCTGGACGGCAGCACGATGTCCTCGGTGGACTCCCCTCTCTTGCCCCAGGTGGGCGCTTACCTAAGCCAGCCTGCTTTGCTGTTAGCTCCTTGCTGGGTGAGATTCCTGGTGAAGAGCCTTCGCAGTCCTGCTGTAGTTTCACACTTACCTATGGTCTCGCCCCGCTGAGCCCTGTGCCAGGAGCACCTGTAGGCCTTGTCTCATTCCGTCTTCCTCCAGGGTGGGAGAAAAGTGGAAGTTTCTCCCTTCCCACAGATGGAGGGTGGGGCCTGCTAAAGCAGCTTCAGCGTGCGTGGTGGTTGCGCAGCTGGTAGGTGACAGCTCTGGGGCCGTTCAGTTCAGTTCTGACGAACTGAATCCGGGAGTCCAAGGGCTGGTGAAGGGAGGCTGGGGACCCCCAGGAAAAGGGCCTATCACTGATGTTATCTTGGGTCAGACCTTCCAGTAGGTGGCTTTCAGCGTGAGCAGGCAGGACGAGAAGTGTTAGAGCTGGCTTTCCTCTAGCCCAGGTTCGCCGCTCTCTCTGGGGGAGGTGGTGATGTCTAGTACAGTGCAGCGTCCGTCAGCACCTCTCACGTTTGCCCTCCCTCACTCAGAGCCCAGTGCCAACTGCTTCCTTTGACACACACATTTGCAACATGGCTGTCGTTCCTGACATGGGGTCTGTGGACCAGCGCTTGTCTTTTATTTATTTATTTACTTATTTTTTTGAGAGGTTTTTTTGCTGTAAGGCATGTGCACTCACCAGAGAGACAGAGAGAGACAGAGAGACAGAAAGCAAGAAATCACCCCCCAGGGGGGATGGCCATGCTGCAATCCCTTCTCTTCCATTCTCTTCTTGGGATGGATCATGGGCACTCACGCACACATGCCTGAAGTGAGTTTAAACCACCAGGTCCGGGACTTGAACCTCAATCGACTACATGGGAGTCCAGCAAAATAGCCATTACACCAACTGCTGGTCCCAGTGCTTGTCTTTTTGTAGGAGCTAAGGAGCACGTGTGTCAGACAGATCACTCACTTGTCGGTGGTGTGCCTGTGGGCAAGGTACTTACTGTGCCTCAGTCCTCATCTGTGAAGGGGGAGAGTTAAGATGAGTAGACAATACAGAGGGGAATTAGGCATCTTCACAAAGTTATCAGGGATGTAGGCCTCTCTTATCCAGCAGTTCTGTTTCATGGTCTAAAATAGCTGCTGTGCTCCAGCCATCATGCTCAGCAGGAAAGAGGAAGAAGCAAAGATCAGTCCTCCCTAACAACCCAGACCATCTCAGTGCCCTGGTGATATGCTTCCTTGGCATCTTTGCTTCCCATTCAAGATGGATAGTCATTCATTCTTGGTGTTATTTGTTTGATGTCCATCAAGTGCACCCCTGTGCCTCCTGCCAGACTAGCAGACGCATGATGTCTGGCACCGGGTCTGTCTTCTGTGTTCTAGTCCTGCTATCCAGCACAGTTCGGGGCACTTAGTAAGTGCTCAACAACTAGATATCGACAGGAGACCGTTCTTGGTATTATTAGGAGTCATAGTTGGCTGATCCTGAGCCTCTGAATCAAGTCCGTGGTCAGCGCTGCTAGGGGCCTGCCCTGCCTTCAGGGTGTTACCCTCACGTAACCCTCAGCAGAATCCCCGGAGATGCTGCTACTGTCTCCAAGTAGCAAAAGGAAGAGTGCCGCGAGGCCATGGGTGACAAGCGGGAAAGCTGTGCTGTGAACTCGGCTCTCCCACGGCCCTCTCGCCTGATGCCTTTTCTGGGACGGCAGGGTGTCCGCGATCCCCTGCAGACCTCATCGCCTGCATCCAGCTCTGAGGATTGCCAGCAGACAGCTCAGTCGTCACATGCTCAGCCACAGCTGCTCAGGAAGCGCCGTGCACTCAGCACCTTGTCTGGAAGTGGCTTTGGCCTACAGAGCCTGCAGGGGCCCCCTCCCGTGTGGAGGGGCAAGAACACTTGCTCCCAGCTCTCTCCTCTCTTTTTCTTTTCTTTTTAAAATGAGAGTTCACACATGTAAGAGAGAGAGAGAGAGAGAGGCACCCTTGACAGGATCTCGTCATGCCCAGTCCCCTCTCTCATCCTTCTAGCTCCTCAGGCGTGCTCATTCTCTGCAGCCTGGGACCTGAACCCGTGGTCGGCTGCATGGTTTCCAGCCTTGCGGGCACTTGCCTTACCCTGGCCCCCTGCAGCTGGACCCTCTCCTAAGATATCTCCCGGGGCCTTGGTGGACTCAGGGGCTCTTGCAGACTACAGAGGATGGGCGAGAGGAGCCGCCGAGGGCTGGGGCAGGCTGGAGCATGTCTTGCAGTGGGTGCTGAGTGGGCTGGGTTCA